AATTGTAGAACATAAAATTATCTACAAAAAACGTATCAATACTTTTTTCCCTACGAGCCACCGTTTTTGAAATATAACGATTAAAATAGTTGTAAAAGTTGTAATCGTCATAATATGCACCCATTTCCACGCCACCTATGAGGTAGTGTACTTAGCGCGGTTTTTTCATGTGGTCTTCTCAGTAGGCCTATTCCAAGGGTCAGTTGTGATCCTGTTTAATTTAAAACAGAGATTGAAAAGATAAAAGCAGTTTAAGTTAAAATAAAAATTGGTAAAATTTAATCGTCCGAGTCGTAACTTTCAAATTCTTCTTCTTGTTCTTCTTCTTGTTCTTCTTCTTGTTCATCTTGTTCTTCTTCATCTTCATCCTGAGTACATGTAAACTGCGTTAATAGCGATGTATCGCATGTCGCCTCGTTGGAATCAAACGAATCCTCCACTATTGGTGATTCAATATTTGAGTACGACCGACCTTGACAATGTGTACATGCCGGAGAACAAAACAGTCCAGCTTTTTTTCAACCACATTTAGCACTGCACCCCTTTTTGCAGTTGCAAAAAATTGTGTTCAGCAGTATTTCCGACGCAGGTGAAAGTAAAGTTTGGACTGGTTCTAATCTGTTCAAAATCTGTTTTTCCGTTAACCAACTGTCGCACCCCTACGAAAGACAGTCCTCAGAAGTCAAAACTTGTGCGAGCTAAGGATTAATGAGGTCTTACCTTTTAACGTGTAATTCCTAACACGGGTTGGACGATAGCAAGTGAAAATCGATCGTTCAGACTAAGGCTTGAACCACCGACCAACACCGCAGTCAATTCGAGTGAGTGAACAAAGCACCCACGTCGAACCGCCTGGCTATCGACCGATAGCCGATGAATTGTTGACCAACTTCCAACCCCAGTCTTTTGGGTCTAGCTGATAACCAAGCCACACTTGAACTTGGTAATATACTCAAAAAAGATGTTGATGAGCAGCAACTGAGGTTTTTTATTTTTGGTATTTTTAACGAAACATCCATATCTATACTTATTTAAGCAGGTAGTTTTTTTAGGAGCTCCGTACATAGAAAGAAGAAAATGAATGCCGTTAGTGATGATTTCTTGTCGAGATGAATTACTTTTTTCAAAAAATTCAGCACATTGAACTAAATTTTGTTTTTCAAACATTTCAAAAACTGTTATTTTACCCCTCCTGTAGAATGCAGATGTCGTATCACAGCCAGTTATTTCGTGTAAAAATAGTACATGATTTTGAGACTTTGCAAAAGTAGATAAACTTTTTGACGAATATTTTTCCGATTGATGTTGAGCTTTTCCTGGTTTTAGGCCTAAAATAGTTTTTTCAGTTGAAGTTCGAGCAGTGAGTAATACGAGTAAGTCTACATCTTCACCAACAACAATAGTTGTATTTGTCAAATTGAATAACTCTATTGTAGAGCTATTGTAGAATTGGACAAGAAATTCAAAAACGATGAGTGATTTTGAATGATAAGTGGGTGGTTTGTTTGAAGGTGGTTGAAATGTTTCATGGTGCATTTCATTAGTTCGGACTTCCATTGCCTAATATCGTATAAAATAATTTCAAATCCCTGAAAGAATCAATAAAATGAAAAAAGAATAGCTAAAAATAGCAATCATATTAAGCAAAAAACCCTGAACTGAAATTAGAATGAAATAAAATACAAGCAACAATTGAAAACTGAACAATCACCAAGAAATAAGAAATTAAAATCAAAATAAGTGAGTGGCTTTAGTTTTAGGGGATATATGAGCTATAATCCTACTGGAGTGCTATTGATTAAATGCACTATACCAAACGCCCCTTGAAAGAAGCTCATGTAATTTTGTCCCTTTGTATATCCAAAACGACTTCATCATTTCCCTAGAGAAATCTGACGTTTTTCTAATTCTGAATTATAAACACTCAGTATTGAAGAAAACACTTACAGGGTAGCTTATAAAACAGTGGTTAACGACAAGTGCGTTTCAAGAAATATCGTTCTAGTGCTAAATTTGATCAAGCTTAATTATTGATGTAACAGTAAGTTAAATATTATTCGCTATTTCAGATTCGAACGAAAACGATAAAGCAATGTGTGCAATTTTACTATGTTTGGAAAAAAGTTTGTGCTGATGAGTATCGTCGAATTAAACAAATGAGGGAACGAAGATATAGCCACCTGAGAAATTCGGAATCAGAAATGGATGAAAAGCTTTACGCAGATGCAAAGTTACTGGGGGTATGGAGATACTTTATACAAAATAATTATAAAATGAAAATGAAACAATTCGTGGACACAACACTCCAAAAAAGGGGGCAAACCGCGGACACGTGTTTCTGGCTATTGGCCTCATCAGCGCGGTGCAGCCAAGTGTAAAGATGGGCAACACTTGTTTGCCGAAAGCAGGAAACAACACAT